CCCCAAAACCCCAAAACCCCAAAACCCCAAAACCCCTTTAATAAAGACTTGGGTTGAAATTTAAATTATTTAAAATGGAGCCTTCTATTGGATTTTCAGGCAACTTTGCCCAACCTAATCATCTAAACTGGAGATTGCTAGCTTCTGCGCAAGTTGAAGCAAACCAAGGCAGAATTCAAGGCAGTGACTCTGTGAACCAGGCTTCGAGCGAGCAAACAGGTCTTTCAGAAAAAGAGTTTTATTTCCAGCCTCGGACTGCTCGATTTGATTGGAAGAATTTAAGAAAAGTTAAAATTAAGAACATGATTCGGGATAATAATGTGGACCTTCTTCCGATGCTTTTACCAAATCTGACAATGAGTGAATTTTCAACAGAAGAAGACCTCAACAATTTCGACAACAATGAATATTTGATCAATTTCTACAAATTGCTCCAATATGCAAATGAACATCAAGCGAACCAACTCAAACTAGTTCAAGCAGAACTAAAAGCCAAAGAAGACGAATATCTTAAAATTCACTCTGAAGTCATGGACAAACAAAGCAGATGCGACCAGAGGCAAAATAAAATATTGGATGCGAAGGCCCAGATTGCCCACAAGAACAAACTGGTATTGCTCCGTCTAATTCTAGAACTCCCAAGTTGCTGTGAAATACATGATGGCAAGAGACGGCGACTCCAAAGGCATCTTTTACTGCTGTTCCAAATGCAAGAGCAAAGCGTTCATGACCAAAGAAGGTACATTTCTGATTAATCAGTAGCAATAACGAACCACTATGCTGAAGTGCACGGGTCAAAAGTGCCTAAATAAAGATCTCCACTGTCTGCTTGCAGAAAGAGAGTATAGCTCAGTGTAATATTTAGGAATGAGGAAGAAGAGAAGTCATTAAAATAGTGAAAGTAAAATCCTCTATCATCTTTAGGATCAACACGTTCAAGAAGAAAATCTTCAAAGAGATCAAAAGATAGCTCAAAATCCATTGAGTATATAAAAGATTAGAATTTAGATACAACAAAATAATTGAAGAAAAGGATAAATAAAATAGAAGATCTTACTGAAAACTATAATGAAATAGTTGAACAATTCAGACAAGAGCAAGAAAGAAATGAGGGAATGCTAGATATGCTCTTCAAAAAGATTAAACAAAAAGAAAAGTACTTTCTTTCCCTCATAAATTTAGAAGACCAAAGACAGCTACTAATGTAGCTTCCAAAGATGCAAGCATTACAGAAATGAAGAAAGAAATTTTAGATTATTTAGAAGCAAAATACTCTAAGAGGGAAGAATTAATGGAACATAATCTCCGCAAAGCTATCCTAAATGCCCATTCAGAACGTAAAGAAAAGAAGAGCAAGAAAAAGGATAAAAAGAGGAGCTCTAAAATTAGTAAACATGAAGAAATTAAGGAAGAAGTTAAGAAGGAAGTAGCTCCAGTAAGTAATCCGAAATCTAGGAACCCTAAGCAAGGTACGTGGAATTAGTAAACTTTTAAAATCAAAATTACCCAAAAGTCTGCAGCTTTGTATCAATAAAACAACTTCCTATGATTAATTTAAAACTCCATAAAAATAATTGAACTGTAGAAACCTTCTGTTTTTACCATCTAAAATTTTATCAAACTCTTTTCCATGGTTTTAACTAACCTTGCGTATAGAATCAGAGTCTGAGCAATACGAAGAAGATTTTGAATTATAACTACTGTATAAAGATCAACATGACTCACAAACCGAGGGGTTTTGGGGTTTTGGGGTTTTGGGGGTTTTGGGG